AATATGTAATTTGATTAAATAGCAAATACCTGTTTAAGGTACTTAGGGTTTGGGTTTTTTTTTTTTCATTACTGCTTGCAACGGTTGACTCGGAATGAAAAGCATTAAATGAGCACATAAGGGGGAATTCTCCTTAAAGAGCCCATGTAAAAAATTATGCCTGAGGGACAAACTCTGTTTTCTGTCATACTGAGATAAATTGAGAGGAACTCTACTGAAGTGAATAGAAGTAGCTCACATTAAAATTGCCATAATGATAGTCGGAAAAAAAAAATCTTATAATGGATGTTGCTATCAAAATCTAACTTTTTTTTTTTTTTTCTGTTCTAACACACAGAAGTGTTCTGCTTATTCCAGCTCTACCATTTCTAAAATACAGGCTTTGTTGTAAGGAATGAGCCTAGAAAAGTGTCTTTTGTTGTGCCCTCGCTTAAGTGAAGTATAAGTAACTATGAAATGAGAACAGTAAATGATAATGACCAACTTGCAAAACAAAAAGCATGCACAAAAAATGTCTAAAAGAGGTAATGATGGAGCTTTGTTCTTCTATAGGTCTGTTACTATATATCTGACTTCATGTGTCACAAAGCGACAGCATAGTTGAGGTTGGAAGGGACTTCTGGAGGTCATCTTGTCTGAACCCTTGCTCAGGCAGGGCCACAGAGAATCAATTTCCCAGGGCAATGCTTTTAAATATCTCCAAGAGTGGAGACTCCACCAGTTCTCTGGGCAACCTGTGCCAGTGCTCTGTCACCCTCACGGTGAAAGTATTTCGGGCATGGAAATAAGAATCTTGACCCGTATCTTGACGTGACTGTTACAGTGGTCTCCCAGCACAAAAAGGAGGCTGAAAGAGTTGAAAAGGTCATTGGATGCATGAGAAGGAGCACCACAGCCATTAGAAATGAAGTTGGTTCCCCGTAGGTATCCTGCTGGCACCTACCTGAACAGCGTGGTGCTGCCTTGTTGGGTGGGATGGGGAGGAGAGGTTGATCTTACTCCGAGATCCAGTTTCTCTTAAACATTCTTAGCACCTGACCAAAAGCTTTACAGGGAAGGAGGAAACGTGCTGTGTGTTTTGTTCTGAAACACGTGTGCCAGAAAGATGACTAACTGAGCAGCCTGACAACTTTTAGGAAATATTAAATGAGTTCGGAGGCAATTGTGCTTTTGTGAAGTTGCGTTTTTAGGGCACAGATGTTTTGCTTCCACCCATGCTGTCAAGCAATAAAAATTGGGATGATCAAAAGGTTATATTAAATGAAAACAAACGAAACAAACAAACAAACTTTTCATTTTTTTTAGCCTGTCGTGGTTTCCCCCTCCTTGTGTCTTGGTTTCTGAGCCCTTAAAGTATAATTGGGTCTTTCCAGTTTTCTCGATACGGACCTCAAACTGCAAAAATTCCTATTGACTTAAAAGGGAATTGGTATTTCCTCCTTAAGCATTTTGGAGTGGTGGGGTTTGAGGTTCTCAAGTGATCTGCTGACTCCAGTTATGGGGGCTACATGAAATAATGAATATCACACCTGTGGGCAGCACTCTTTATAAGCCTGCATTTGCTTGTCTTTTCTTGGGGCCTGTTGTTAGCACGTGGATGGATGTATGGTGTGGCCACCAACAATAGGATAGGTATTGTATGTTGTTTTCTTTGGGTTTTTTTTGGAGAAGATCCCTAAATACTTAGAGTACTTGAGTTAGCGATAAGCTCTTTAGAAGTACTCAATGTCTCCTCAAAAAGGCCATGCAAATCCCATTTTGACCAATTAAAATTAAACTGAAGTTTGGTTAGGGTTTGGAGGTAAGAATTAGAGTAACCAGTGTGGTAATAGTAAATAAGTTCCTGATTTTCCATGGCTTTAAGATAGTAATTGCTGAACCATGCTTTGACTTGAGTAAGATCTTAATTTGTGCTCCTACAGAAAATAAGCTTGATGAATTCACTCACTTATATGCATGAACATAATTTGGGGATATATTACAAACTCTACTACTGGCAGTATCAGGGCTAAAAAAGCTTAGAAGAAAAGTAAATGTGATTGTTATTTATTTAGGACTTGCGTGAGATGAATTCACTATATCTGCTGAACTACTGTACTTATCTACTCTGTTAGTATATTGACGGTATACTGCATCTTGCTCAAAATCATTTTCTTCCATTTTCAAGCAGTTGATTCACCCGCAAATTCATAAAATAATGCAACAGATTTCCCTGGAATAACCACAGTGGTTCTGCTTCCTGGTAGCAAATGCATTATCCAATTAAAGGGGACTTCAGAGCTGTGAATGGGGAACTTGCACTGACGTCCCTCAGAGGGCCAGACCCAAATCTTTGCAGAATCGACCTCTCCTCTACCCAAATAGAGCGTTTGGTTCCACTTAACTTGTTTTAAGCTTAGTTTGCCATCTGTATCCTACTAAAAATGTATTTTTGCAATGGATGTTAAAAAAGAAAATGCAGGAAACAATATTGACAAAAGATACCCAAACTCCCATATGCAAATATGGCTGGATTCTGATTTCTTCTTTAAAATAGCTCTTCATTTCCATTGCTGTCAACTGAATGTTATTTTATGCTTTTGAACATTCGAGCACTTCTTGAGGGAGGTCTGTAGTTGCAGTGACAACTGGCTGGGAAGGATGTTCTCATGGTGCTCGTAGTACTGCGGCACTTCGTAATGCTCTGCATGTTCATCCAGGCAAACTTCTTTTCACAACTGTGGAGGTTAATGGGCTTGTAGACTAATTTAACTAACAGGAACATACCAGGTTTAGGCTTATGGCTTGATCTTACGCTTCTCCTAGACAGGTGGAAATATTTTCTGAATAGTAAATGAAGTGAAAATGGGATTGAAAAATGAAAATAGTGCTATGAAGTATGAAAAACATGTTGTTGTTGTAAATAAGTTAGCAGTTGGAGGAGGCGTTTCACCAAATTTCTTTTTCCAGTTTTTTTTTCTCTCTAATTTTTGATAAAATTTTTTTTTTCCTATGCGTTTTAAAAATCCCAGTTATTTATTATGCTCGGAGTATAGTTTATTAGATGCTCAGCTGTGCATTTTACTCTGATGGTGCAATTACAGAAGCTTTGGTGCGTTAGGATGTAAAACCCCCCAAAAAATAACATTCCTTAGCTGGTGCTGTCAAAGCAGAGTATTTGAGGGAATGAATCTTCTTTTTCTGGCTGTGCAGGCCCAGTGCTCATTAATGGGAGGAAAGGCAGAACGACCCACCTCGCAATCCATTAATGGGGCTTTGTAGCCTTTCCCTTTACGAGGAAGCATCACTAAGGACCCATTAGGTTAGAAAACTCTGGAGAGAGCTGTGCTTCCCTGGACTGCTTAGAAGGCAGCTAGTAGGGCATCCAGAGGGTCTGACAACTTCCATCTCTTGGGCCCTATATCTGTTGGTACTAAAACAGCTGGTGGACAAAAGCTTTCTTGAATTCTCAAAAGCTGTGGAAATCAGGCTCCTGTGTCTTGTTGCTTTATCACAAAAAATGCACGTTACGAGCAGAGGTTGGGAGTCCTTCAAATTCATACAGAATTTGAAGGCAGGAGGGCTGCTGTCTCTTGATACTGTATTTCTAGCAGTTAATTACAAATGTTTTCTGCACATCTGACAGTGAATTGTAATGGACTGTAATTACAGCATGAGGACGTGCTGTATTTTGATTTGAAATCCATTGCTAATTAGTGAAGCGCAGAACAACAACAAAATGGTGGCTCATTTACGCATCTGGTTTAATTTTCCCTTCTGAGATAAGATGAAGCAGAGGTTTTTATTTTGAGGTTTTTGAGGATTTTTATTTGGTGGTCGATTTTTAAAAGCTATTTCTGAAGTCACTGACTTCTGTAAATTCTACCTTCAGTAAATTCGACCTTACTTCTTCACGATGGGTCCGTTACTGTCAGTGGAAGCTTCGTGTCTCCTTTGTGTAGGTTTCTATGTGGACAGGGGCATCTCCTACCTCTGCTGCTAAGAGCTCAGCCCAGAGGGCAAGGTTTGTGTTTCCTGGTGGAAACCTCATGGTGTGACACAGCGTGGTGTTGCTTTTATAAACCAGCTTGTGTGTCAGCTGCAGTTGGGTGACAGCAGCTGGTAAATCCCAGCTCGGTTCTCCGGGGTGCTTGTCACCCTATTGACATTAGCAGGGCTTGGGTTTGGGACATTTGATTGACATTTTGGGTTTGGGTTCCGGAGGGGTGCAGGCTGGAGAGTTACTTATTGACAGCTACAAGGCATTGGCAGTGACCAGCTCGGCGTTACGAGGTGCTTCTTAAAATTTGCTTTTTGCGCAAGGTGATAACGGGGAACAGCATCCTCCCAGCTGACGGACCTGAAAATGTTGGGCTTTTAATGACTGGGGTTTGGCTTTTAAAATTAAATAAATAAATAGATAGATAGACAGATAGATATATGCCTGGGTGGTTTTAAATTGGTGAACTAACTGATGCTCTATGATTGTTGCAGAGTATTTTTCCCACTTATTGGTGATGAGATGATACTTTGTTTAAGCAAAACACCATCAGGCCCTCAAATAACATTAAAATTAGGAGTGAGGAAACTCTTGGGTTCAGTTTTTAAGATTTCTGTCAGTTTTTCCTTACTTCTAAAGGTAGATAGGCTTCGCTAAGCAGCGGTGTTGCCGGAGGTCACAGCTACTGAAGGAAGCAAATTAACATACAGTATGTTAATTTGTTTTCCCTGTCCTTCAGTCACAGTGAGGAAGAGTCTAAATATTTCAGTGACTGAGATTTTGGATTCCCGCTCCTTGCCACACAACAACAACAACAACAACAAAAGCTATTTATAGCAATAACAGTTAGCAGAGATCCAGCAGCCTCAGACAGCTATAGGCAGCGTCTCACCATGGCCACAAATGTTAACTGCTTTTGCACTGAATGCTTCTGTGAAAACAAAAGAGCGCTGAGAAATAAAAGATCAAAGCGAAACCAAAAGAAAGATTTTTTTATTGCTATGTTTTACTTTGCTGGCAGACCAGAGCAAAGGTTTTCTGAACATTTAAAAGATGAAAAAGGTGAAGAATCCCAGAAGCGATTTATCTTGAAGCGAGATAACTCTAGTATTGATAAAGAAGACAATCAGGTTGGTTCTCGGTTCGAGAGTTGCTGAAATTTGTTCTGTTTTTGAAGGTGGGCTGACTGATGTTATTGTTGTTCTTTTGTTGTTGCTCTCCTCCTCTTCCTCCTCCTCCTCCTCCTCCTCCTCCTCCCTCTCCTGCCCCTTCCCCATCTCCTCTGGTGTACGTACCACCACCGTGGGGTAGCATCCAGCCCCGGCGTGGCCGCTTCAGCCCTGGCAGTGTGTGGGGGTTTGCATGGGTGGTTGTGCTTGGCGCAGGGCTTGCTGCATGCCCACGGGGAGGGGGAATGCCGGCGGCTGCGGGGCTGCAAGGCTGTGTCAGTCGCGTTCGCCTCGGTGTCTCGCCTCAACTATGGCAGTTGTTCCGCTCCCCCTCCCTCCTCTCTACCCACTCAGAGTTGGATTTCAGTAGGGAGTAGTGATAAAGCGACGTAGCCCACAAAGGAGAGAGGTAAAAATAAAAAACAACCCAAAAAAAACCCCACAAACCAACCCCAAAAAAACAAACATCCCAAAGAAACACGTGATGGTGAGGCCAGGTCAATTTTATTATTTTTATTTTTTTTAAACCATCCTGAATTAAATTGTGACCCCAAAATAAATCAGTTTCCTCTTCTAGCTCCCTCCCTCCTCCTGGTCCCTCAGCACCCTGTACTGTCTTGTGTAACTTACTTGCTTGTCGTGCATGTCCCGTGGCAGATGTCACCCTCTGTGTTGCCTGTGCCATAACAACAACCAATCCCAAAGAAACACGTGATGGTGAGGCCAGGTCAATTTTTTTTTTTTTTTTTTTTTTTTTTAAACCATCCTGAATTAAATTTTGACCCCAAAATAAATCAGTTTCCTCTTCTAATTATTTTTATTTTTTTTAAACCATCCTGAATTAAATTGTGACCCCAAAATAAATCAGTTTCCTCTTCTAGCTCCCTCCCTCCTCCTGGTCCCTCAGCACCCTGTACTGTCTTGTGTAACTTACTTGCTTGTCGTGCATGTCCCGTGGCAGACGTCACCCTCTGTGTTGCCTGTGCCATAACACTCTCTTACCTTAGTCGGGCCCGACGAGTAGGGGAGCGCCAGGGAAACGTGTGTGTTTGTGCTGCCTTTAAAAGCGGGTGTTGTGCTGTTTCAATCCAGTCTAAGCTGTGTATGTGGAATATATTAACCAAAAAAAATCCAAACAAACAAAAAAAAAAATCAAAACGGGTTCTGATGTGAATTAGCTCCCTCCCTCCTCCTGGTCCCTCAGCACCCTGTACTGTCTTGTGTAACTTACTTGCTTGTCGTGCATGTCCCGTGGCAGACGTCACCCTCTGTGTTGCCTGTGCCATAACACTCTCTTACCTTAGTCGGGCCCGACGAGTAGGGGAGCGCCAGGGAAACGTGTGTGTTTGTGCTGCCTTTAAAAGCGGGTGTTGTGCTGTTTCAATCCAGTCTAAGCTGTGTATGTGGAATATATTAACCAAAAAAAATCCAAACAAACAAAAAAAAAAATCAAAACGGGTTCTGATGTGAATTGCTTGTATGAGAAAATTCTCACAGGTAAGAAGACGGTGTATGCTTTCTTTGCTTAGGTTATATTTGTGGAGGGACCTGCCAGTGAGTCTCTCATTGCCACTCTCCTTCATGTTTTCAGTAAGAGACTGATTTTTCCTTTTTCTTTTTTTTTCCCCCCTCTTTTTCCTTCACTTTGAATGGTACACAGCAGCCTTGCCAGTTACACTGCAGCTGGCTTTGAAAGCAAAACCCCCCAGTGTTTTCAGGGTATGACGAACATGGGGATGGGCCAAAGGGAAACAGCATGACCTATCTCAGCAGGTGCTGGGGTGCAGGGGGAGAAGGAGCAGTGCTTGAAACCCAAATTGCCAGCGAAGCATTTCTTGCCCGGGGTCCTCTTCTCCTCTCCTCCCTCCCACAGCACAGCCATTTCCCGCACCCCGCTTTACCCAGAGGCACAAATGGCCATTCTTTTCCTAGCAAAACTGAAGTCGAGGGTTCCTTTACGGTGTGGAAATGGTTAAAACCATCGTGCTGATTATTTGGGACTTCTCCTCATACACATAGACTTTGGTGGGTTTCTTCTAGGGTTTGCAGCTTAGCTCTTTACCGCCTACTTTCCTTCTTTTCTTCCTGGATTGCACGGGTGGTGCAGCGCTGCCTGCCCTTCCTGCTCCTGGCAGCCGGTAGGAGAGTCGAGAAATCTTAGCAATGGCACTTAGGTTTGGGGTGAGAACACCCAGTTTTAGGACGGCGGGGCCACAAAAGCCATGCAGAGAGCCTCGTTTGGGCCACTGGCTCCAGGAACCCACGTGCAGTGCCTACCTGGAAACCCTGGGGTGCCCGGCCGCGCCAGGGCCCTTCCTGCAGGAGCGACAGCTATCGTTTTCATGCTTCATTTGTTAAGTGAACATTTATTATTCTCGGCTGACAGTTACTTAACGGCAGTTTTTAACAGCTCAACTTATATAACCCTCCTGGTTTTCTTTCTGCTCAGCAAAACAGAATTCTTCCATTTAGAGATGACAGACGAAGTAAATCAATTGAAGAGAGAGAAGAGGAGTATCAGAGAGTGAGGGAGAGAATATTTGCACAAGATGTGAGTAGTTGTTTTAATTGCCTCTTTAGTGCCCTACCTTCGCCGGTAGCCAGACAGTCTTGTCCCCCTCCGACACCAACACCGCAGCTGGACTTGCCCCGTGGAGCTGGAGGCGACAGGGAAGGGCCATTGGAGCAGAGGGTCCCAGAGGAGCTGGAGAGGTGTGGAGGTCGGTTTCTGGAGAAAGGAGGTGATGAGAGATGGCAGGGAGAAGGGTAGAGGAGAGATGAGGCCCGGCATGTTGTCTGGGGAGTGCTTATCCTGTGTCTTTGAATGTTCATGTTCGTGTGGTCTAGGTTTCTTTCTTTTCCCCTTCTCTTTTGCGAAGCAAAGAGCAGTGATTTAAATGGACACTCTCAATAAGTTTAAATAGCTGTGTCATTTCCTGTTTGTTTCGAGCTCGGATCAAATTTTCCAAGTGTCCTCCTGCAGAGTCTCCCAATGGTTTTGTTTCTTTGGACGCTAAGAACAAAGAAAAGCCAGAGGTTAAACATGGAGTTGCACGGGTTTTTTGAAATGGCCGGTTAAGGAACTATACCTTTGCCATCAGAAAGTGTCAGTCACTTTTCTGATGATTTTATTCTGAAAGGAATAAAATTTAATAGGCATTATAATTCTTGCCTTTAACCAAAAATCAGAACTTGCGCAATGAGTTATGTTGCTGGAGGAAAACGTTTAAATATGAAACATCTGTGAGCAATACCTCCTGTTCCTGAAAAAGGAAGAAAATCATAATTTGCTATAATACTGTAATGACAGGGTCCTCAAAGGAAAAAAAGAAAAAAAAAGTCAACATTTTATTGTGTTATCTCATGTCTCAGTGGGAGCTCTGCCACTAAGAGGAGTATGAGAAAAAACCCAATTAAAACTGTTACTGAAAATCATATTTGGCAGTGTCCTTTTAAATTAAAACTGTTCATGTGTTGCAGGGCTAATAGCATAGGTATTCTTTTATTTTGCTCTGGTTTTGGAGTCGCACAAGTCCAAGTTACTTTTCTTTAGCAGAATACATTGCATAGTTTTAAGGTGTGTGTTGTCTCACTTGTGATAAGTAATTTTGCTTTTTAGTAAGTACCTTGCCACATCTAAATGTTTTTAGCCTCGCTTTTTTTTTTTCTTTCTTTACTGAGACAATTCCAGTAAAAGCAGAGGCTGCTAGGTTTATGTTTTGCTTTTGGAATGTGGATCTGATGTAAATCCTGTCAGGGTATATATGGTAGAGTTACTTAGTCATTCCAGGGCTGCAAAAGCCTCTTTGCAGCTTGTTCCCTGTATGAAAGTTGCTGGTTTCTGGCTTTTTACAGAGGAGCTTGTGCAAAACCAAAAAAAAAAAAAAAAAAAACTACAAAAAAACTTTGGGTTTTGAAGCAGACTTCAGATGAGACAAAATGTTGTTTAAAAGTACTACGTGGAAAGCTGTTGCCAAAATCGTGCAGTTTCTATCACAAGCAGTGGCTAGAAGTGCCAGGCTGGGAAATGGAGGTGGCTGGAAAAGTCTTGCTGGAACTTGCTCCGCAAGGCGCTGCTGGTTTTATCCTTTAGATGCTGGAGTTTTACAGAGGGGCAAGCAGGGAGCATTTGAATTGCCTCCAGCAGGAGGTGGTTGTGGTCCATGGGGTTAGCATCTCCGAGCAGCAAGACCTAACTAAGTAGCAGTGGGCTTTGTGGGGAGTGAGCATGTGTAAAGATCAGCGCCGTTAGATATCTCTCCCTCTCTCTCTCGTATCCGCTCATTTGCTCTCTCTCCCTGCTATTGCAGGCGCCTCCTGAGCATCGTAGGGCAGCGATTTGCAGCGAGCTGTACTAATAATATTAACAGGAATGTTATGTCTCAGCTGAGCCTTTCTCGAGGGGAGCGCTCCTCGAAGTCATGAGGTGTTCTTAGGGTGGTGTCCGTGGTTGTGGTGGTGGGCAATGTCAGTTTTTTTCAATTTTGGGAAGAGAGCAGTGGCTTCCTATTTTAGGTTGCTACTTACTGCATGTAAGACTTTTAAAGCCCTCTGCAATGGTTAATTAATCCAGTTCTCCCCAGGTCTCTCTAAGGTAGGTACCTAAGCCTTGTCACCCTGCAAATTATAGACGTAGAGAGACAGGGAGGGATTAATCCCGTGGTATTTTTATTATCTGTATACTGTTTATACTGCTGCAGTCCAGCCTTTATCAGTGCCTTGCTTATGAACCTTAGCAAATGGATTATAGATTCTTCATTTCTCATTGGAGTGTGCATGAAGAGAGTTTGCATGAGAGGTCTCCAAAGGGCAGCCACGAAGGTCGAGAGTACTGCCGGTAACTTGGTGCACCTAGCACCCCTTCTCTAAACATCTTTGGGGTACCCAAAACTCTTTGGATAACAGATCAGCCCATGAGTCAGAGCTTTGAACAAAGCTTAGGAGGAAAAGGCAGGCTGGCGACAGGGGCAAAAAAATTCTCTGCACATCTCAAGTGCTGTGAAAAATGTCTTAACCTGGACCCCCCTATACCAGCCAACAGAAAGATGGCTTGTCCTTCCTTTGATTTTGCAGCACTAGAGTGCATCAGAAACTTTCATTTCCAAGTGGGAAGGTTTTAACAAAATAAATAAGTTCATGAATAATGCCATCATTATTATAGTCCTTATGGTGATTAGTCTGATGTTAGTCAGTTTAAATTATACTTTCTGGCAAGTTTTCCATCTGCTGTGTTGGCTATCATAAATTTTGACGAGGGGAGCTGGAGGTTTTAATGATTCCTGTCATGTGTAGAGTCGTAGGAAGTGGCAGGGATGGAGAAGCATGTTAAAGTGATATCTTTATTAAAGGATTAGTGAAGAAATACATAGTTAATAAATGTGATCATCCCAGCTCACTGAAATAAGAACTACAAAGCGCACCTCAAACTTTCCAGACTGCTAACAGTAAAACAGCCCTGCATGAACTCTGTTATGCTCAAAGGTATTATTTTTAATTACAAAGTCTACAACCGTTCTCTTTAAAACTTAATTTTTTTGGAAGCTTAGCTTTACAACAATTGGTGAATTTTGCAACCAAGTACACTGGAGCAGAAGACCTGGAGTATCTGGGTCTTGTAAAGAAGTTGTTTCTTGTCTGAACTGCTTTAGTTGCTCTTAGGAGGTTGAAAAGGAATTGTCCAAGAAAGATGAAGAATAATCTAAAAGAATTTAAAAAAAAAAGTGTACGTTGTTCTTGCCCTGTGCGTTAGCTCAAAGTATAGATTTAACTGAGAATCCCAGATGCGTGCGCAAATGGTGTGCTGCATTTGGCTTTTAAGCATGCAGAAAATTGATTTTAAAGACTAGCAATCAAATTATGTAGAGGAAATTTCATTCCTCAAGGTTAACGCAATGTATAACCTCATGAGCCAGAATCACATAAGGACCATCCATTGTTCATAAATGTATTCTCTTGTAATCATTGTGTATTCACTGAAAAATGTAGATGTTTCATTACTTACACAAACGCTAGAATTTCCCATGGCACACATGGAACTTATTAAAGGAAATACACCATGTTTTTTATCTTTTGTCGTTAGTTCTAATGGCTATTTTTAACTGAATGTATTCTGAAGAGCCAGATCCTTTAGATAAAATAACTCATGATTCCTCTGCTTAAGAAAGCGCTGAGGATCTTTATTACTCTCCGAGTTAAAGAGAGTCACGAAATAAATATTTGAAAAGGTGGCTGCAGCCTGTCCTATCCTTTTGGTAGGAAAAAGAAGGTTTGAAATTAATAAAAACAAAACAAAGACACACCTCGTGTCGGCTACCACAAACCCGTAGGTACTAAAACTCCCAGAAAGAGCCTTTGTTTGTGGCTGCAGAGCAAGCAGTAAGTGTTAGTTTAGAAGCCTGTGATCTGTCACGTCTTGTTTAAGTGACGTGACAGTGATTACCTGATGGTATCCACTGCAGGATATTGCTGCATGTTAATAGTTATCTCTGTTGGCTAATGTAATTATAAACAAGAACAGCAGCCCCAGTTATACCTAGTGCACTGGCGGAGGCTGATGAGCGTTTTGCAGTTGAGACTTTAAAAGGCTCTAGGGAATTGGAAGAGTGATATACGCCTTTCATAAATGTCACTTAGTCCTACAGAGCACCCTAATGGGAATCTTGCATGCAGAGATCTCTGAGGAGGCAAATTTGTAGGTAATCTTACATCACTTTTTTTCTTTTTGTAGGTTTGTTGTCACTGTCTTTGAGTATACAAGAGCCAACATTTAAGAATGTTTTTTGCAACAGCTGTGCTGTCCACCTAAGCTTTCCTGGTCCTTTAAATCGAGCATTATTGATGTTATAGATCAGGAAAGCGAATCCTGACATTGTAGGAGCTAAACTGCTATCCAGAGCTGCCTTAGCTATCTGATTTTTAACAGTAAGAATAGCATAATATTGAAGTGTCTGTCTTCTCTGCCTCTCAGCTTCACACCTGTACTGAAAAATAGTTTCCAGGGGTTGTGTGGCCCCGTGCCAGCAACATCAGCCGGGAGGGCAAATGGAATTATTAGAGTCCTTAAGTCTATAATGCAGTTGATAGTGGTTCCCATTAAGACACGGAAGAGGGAGCAGACCTCTCCACTTGTTTGATAAAATATAAATCCCGGATATTTACTCTGATTTATGCTCCAGTCTCTTTAAAAACTTGAAAAAATAAAATAAATTTTCTTTAAAAATTTCAAACAGGTACACGCCCCTTTGCTTTTGTAACTTTGTGGGGATGCAGACCAGTACTCTGGTCTAAACTTATTTGTGCTGGAAGAGTAGCTTTAATGCTGCTTTGGAAATGTGGCTGCAGTGAAGTCAATGCACAGATGCCTATCATGAACCTCAATCTGAAGACCCAGCCCCACAGCTGAGGCTGTACAAGCCCCATGGGGTGGTGTCACTGTGTTCACAGGTAATTAGATGAAGCTGAAGGCTGCACAGCCACATTTGTTACTGAGACCTTGTGAGTAAGGTACATAAAATGAGAGAAAAGGCAGTGTCATAGTTGTACAAAGGATCCCAAGTGGTTTTAGGGGGAACAGTTGGTGTCTCCTTTCGGCCTGGGGTGAATACCTAGGTCTGCTGTGGCTGGTGGGAATTTGGTCCCTGGCATCAGAGAAACTTGCTCCTGATGTCCTGAGGCTTTGTGCTAAGGAGAGGTGTCCTTGCCACCGATGCAGCCCAGACCCCCGTGTGTTTAGTTGGAGTGCAGGGTGGGAGCCCACCTGGGAAGCCCACGGAGCTGTCAGATGTTCCCTGATGTGGGTGCTGGGTGGGCGAATCACAGTTTTAAGGAGAAACCACATTGCCTTCGTGGGGCTAAATTCCATCTTTGTGTAAATCGATGGGATGTCACCGCCTGCGGTGCCAAGGGACAAGTTTGCCCAGGCAGCTGTTGGAGCAGTGGGAATAAGCAGGGTGTTGCTTCTGGTGTTGGCCAGGGCTCTTTGAGTAGGTCGTTAGCTCACCCTTTTCAAAACAGAAACATCCCAAACCTGTGCATATCTCATACCATTAGGTTCTGCCAGGGCTAATGATGGCATTGCATTATTCTTTGAGCTGTTGTTACAGAAGTCATGGGCATGATCTCTGGTGCCCTCCTCACTTTGCCTGCCTTTTGTTTAAATTCAGTGCAAGTACTGATTGTCCTTTCTTCTGTACCTCATGGAGATATAATCCAATGACAGCTACGAGGCACTTTGTGTAGCGAACACGAAATAGGAGGGAAATGAAAAAATCAAAGGGGGAGAATTATTCATGGGAAATTGAGCACAGCTTCATTTCTCTGCATAAAAAATTAAGTAATGCTGAAAGAATTATACAGTTGCCCATAGGATTTATTTCTTCTGAGCCCTTCACCTTTCTTGGGATCTAAGTCCTCCAGCAGAGAACCTTTTTGCAATAGGATATTATTGTTGTTAATATTACTATTAAGATGATTATCATCATTTTATATCTCAATGTGGGTATGCCTGTTTCCTCTCCAACCGTAAAATGTGAAATCACACAGTATTCCTAAGTACTGCAGTATCTTCTCTCCCTTTGAAGAACTTTGTCAGTTCTGCATGCTTTCCTTCTGTTTGTCCCTCCCTCCTACCCGCAGCTTTGTGCTCTTCTGCAATCTTATTTTGAGGAGGTAGGGCAGACCAGTGGAACCTTGTATTATGTAGGAAAACGAGTATTTCCCCTTGGAATTGCCAGTATTTTGCACATACCGCCTTCTTCTGATCTCAGGACTGAGAAGTTTCAATTTGTTTCCAAACTGAGACCCCTTGTTGGCAATGTGTTGTAATGCATGGAATTTATTTTACTGGCCTGACCTTATTCTTGACCTTTTTTCCCTCTTGTCTTCTGCAAATGCAAATGATGCATGAATTGAAATCCCCTTAAGCCTGAACAGGGGAGATAATTCTAAAATCGAGGAAGGAATTGGAACAGCAGAGCATATCTAGAACGTCTGATACAATGCCTTTTTTATTTTTCAGTCAGTTTGCTCCCAGGAAAACCTTTTTGTGGAAAACAGGTAAAAAATAGCTTGCTTTTTTTTTTTTTTTTTTGTGTTAAACTTAGCTGTTTCTCATTTTGTCTATCACAGTTCTGTAGTTGCTTATCCTAATGCAAAGACTGTTGAGCAGATTTGTGATCCGTATTATCTGCAGTGTTTTTGTGCTTTAAGAAGGCGGGGGGGGGGGAAGAGATTGCCTTGCAGTATTGTATATGGGCAGATATGGGGTTACTGCTGCTTTCCCAAGACTTTGCATTTCAGTTGAAAAAGCAGATTGTGGGAGGGAGGGAGGGAGGGGGAGCCCACCTATGATTTAATTTCCAATGACCGACCTGGTTCCTGGGAGTGCCTTTAGAATTTTAACTTCTCGATCTTTAAAAAGCACTCCAGCAGGGGCTGGATGAACGTATTTATGAAACCCCACGCTTGTGTTCCTCTTGTTTAACCTGCTCTCCTGCGGGGCTGAGCAGCAGCACGGACTTCACTTGTTGCTTGTGGAGGCTCTCAAGTCCCCCAAACCAGAGCTGCTTTACTGCTGCCTTGTAGTAATGAAACGGTGGTATCTGAGCCAACTGCTGCTTTGCATTACTGCGTGATCGTTCTCGTGGATGTTCTTTGTGTTGTAATAAATCTGCTTAAAGCAAAGAGACGAAGAAACCGTCTTCAAGATGTACAAAATATGAAGCATTAGCTCCATAACAGCCATCGGTTAGCTTCACTGGGTTGAAAATCTTAGAAATCGTGCACCTTTATGGCAGATTTTAACCAAAACGCTGGGAATTTCACCGCTGAGGGTTTGAGTAGTGCTAGCCCAAGTCTGTCCTGTGCAGTTTTTAAAACTGTTCACCATCCCCTTGAAGAAGGGGAGATGATCTTTCACAGTATTTCTATCTCTGTCCATCCTTACAGCTGTCAGATGCATTTATGGGTTAGGCTGTTCCCACACAAAATGACTCTACAGTAATGGTACAAACCAGGTTTTCCAGTGGCCAGTCCTGTAAGGGGAATGAGGGAAGAGCACTCAGGAGCTCATGGGCACTGTCCTGAACCATCTAACCACCGCATATTCTGAGAGCCAAGGGTATTACCTCAGCTGCTTCTTCTAAATCATGACTATGGAGACATGTTTTATCAAAATGAATCAAAATTTCAACAGAGGAACCCAAAAAGCAGGTGGTCCCCCAAATCTACTTTTCCCTCTCTGGAGAGACTGGGACAATAACCATGATACAGTTGTCCACGTTCCCAAATTAATATGCAGAGCTCTCAGACACGGCGCTCCCGAGGGTGGGATGGGGACCCTTATGGCATAAACCATGAATTTTGCAGCCAGGTCTCCATCGGTTTATGCATTCAATCCCACACCTGCCTGCAGGAGAATGTGGCCGGTTCTGAGGTTCACACTTGGTTCACTTTGCTTGAGATGGCTGGACAGCTTTCCTGGTGTGAGGATGCAAACTCAGGTGGGGACCAAAAAAAAGGCCAGGTTGGAAGTTGGGATTCTGTTACTGCCTGTGCTGTGGTTGACAGGGAGAAAGACTTCAGCTGCCTTCCTCAGAACACTTCTTTTTTCCTTGCTTCATGCCTTACAGCATTTGATCAGGTGAAGCACTTCAATTTGTACTTAGCTTTGTGCACATGAGGGGTCTTGTTAATTTGCTGTGTTGAAAGTTAGGTATGTGTTTAAGTGCTTTGCCTTAACCTGAAGCGTTTCTCTGAGCTGCAGAGATTTCCAAACGACTTAGCAAGTGCTTAAAATTATATACGCAGTATTTTGCTGGCTTGCATTTTTTTTTTGTGTTCTTATTAGGTGATATTTTTGTGAATTTTCTTTTTGGATTTAGATATGTGGTTCTTTGGCTTCTGAGGATTACCTTGCTTGGTAACAGGAAATGTTAAGTGGCTTTCAGCCTCCCTGGCTGAAAATTTCTTACATTCAGTTGACTGTGCATGGTTATGGGAGAGGGAGGGAGTGGGGAATTTTAGCCTTGGGTTTTTTAAACTATGAATCTAGTGCAAGTTGGAAGATGTTGCTAGAAATCAAATATAGCTTTACAGATCAGATAAATTTGAATTACCATGTCTGTTACCATAATCTTCCTTTTCATTTTCCAGTAGGCTGTTGGAAGACAATAGTATATGCAATGACACCCATAAGAAAAGACAGCTGTTTAGGTTTGTATGACTATATTTGATATTTGTTTCCCGCTAACTCTGATTCATGATTCTATCTGTGTCCTCGCCAAGGGGGACCTAGACAGGTGTGGGTATGTCATTTTTCTGGTTGGAAAGGAGCATGGAGAACAGACTTCTCACGCTGCTCATGCCATGCTCTGAATGGGGAGGTCACAATGGGACCCTTTCCTTTGGATCGTTGGCTCAGGAACCATGTGAGATTTTTCCAGCTGCCCGGCTGCTGGGACTGCCACAATTTAGAGGTGACTGTGGCCGCTGGAAGTTCGTTTTGCTCTAGTATTAAAAGCTGAAGTAAAAGTACAATGAGGTGAAACTGATTGAAGTTCCCTTATCTAAAGTAGCAACGTTTTGAAACTTTTTTTCCCCTGTGAACTTTGTCTTCCAAACTCAATTCGTTCCACCCAGAGAACATTCAGGTGTATCGTGTATCCCAGATCTCATTCCAAGCCACAGGAAATCAGTAGGAATCAGTCCATGTTTCCATGGAGAATTTGGCACACTGCATCCGTGGAAGAGCCAACCTGGTGGTCACTGTTCCTCTGAGAGGCTTGGAAAGGCTCTCTTCCCACAGGTTGGGTTCAAATCAACCAGAGCTGAGCACGCCAAGCTGCTTTTAAAGTCAATCACCTGCCACAAATCTTAAGCAGAGCGGGCAGAAGCAATGGATGCTTTCAGAAGCACGTCCTTCATCCAGGAAGACGTGTAGATGGCCGGGCAGAAGTTAGGTGATCACTAGATGTCTGCCTGCATCGGCGTTTGTGGATGTAGCAGTGATAGGTTGTGTCACTTCAAACCTATATCATCTGTTACGTGGTTTTTCATGATGAGGAGAAAAAGCTGAGGGATTGTTTGACGTGTGGCTGCTGACTGTGCATCTCAGAGAGGAGCTGGCGAGACTGCACCAGATGAGGAGCAGTGCTGGAGCATCTGGAGCTGCAGCCCATGGGCACAGGCAGAAGAACTTCTCTCCATGCTTTGGGTTAGGCTTGGTGATCCCAGAGTCTTGGGTTGGGCATGCAGGAGCGAGGAGGCACCTTACACACAGACACTCTTAATATCTTTTCACATTTGGGGAATAAAAAGGGATTTTCTGGAACCCAAACTCACAGATAACTGGGATAGAAACGCATTCTGGTTCTCTCCTTCCTTTTCACTAGAATGTAAATATAAGAGAATTTTTAATTTCTAAGCATAAGAATGCAAAAGAGTCTGTAAATAATACACTTAATTTTTTTACTTTGCAATTTCATTTTAAAATATTTTTCCCTTTTTTTGTTCTGTTGCTGCTTCTGTGCTGTTTCTCTTCATGCTTTCCCAATGCCTGGGTCTAGCAAAAGTCAGCAGGTTAATGCTGCTGAGCTTATCTGAGAGAGGCTCTGATCACAGTCAAGGAACGCACCAGCCTGATCCCATCTTTGACACGCTGCTCCTTCGCATCCCGAGCGACACAGCTCGGCAGGTTCTCCAGATAAAAAGCAGGAGCCATGGTCACAAGGGGAAAGGGGCCCCCCAAAAAAAAAAAAAAATAGATACAGTCCCACCCTTTTGATTTGTATAAAGAGCTTTGAGCCTACAAGGTATTATGCTGTCAAATAAAACAGAAGGGTGGAAAATGGCTTCTAAAAGCCTTCAAAAGCTGGTGTTACTGGCATCCCTTGGGATAAGGTTTGTGGTGCATGAAGCTGTGGCAGGTGTGCTGGTTTTGTCATTTCACAGAATCACGGAATCATGGAATTGTCAGAGTTGGAAGGGACCTCTAGAGACCACCCAGTCCAACTCCCCTGCCAAAGCAGGGTTGCCCAGAGCACATCACTCAGGAGCATCCAGGAAAGGCTTGAGATCTCCAGAGAAGGGGACTCCACACCCTCCCTGGGCAGCCTCTTCCAGGGCTCTGCCACCCTCACTCAAAAGAAGTTTCTTCTCAGATTGGAGTGGAACTTCCCATGGTCCAGCTTGTGCCCGTTGCCCCTCGTCCTGTCACTGGGAACCCCTGAAAAGAGTCTGGCTCCATCCTCCTTCCACCCACCCTTTAGATCCTTGGAAGCATGAATGAGGTCTCCCCTCAGCCTTCTCTTCTCCAGGCTGAAGAGCCCCAGCTCTCTCAGCCTTTCCTCATCGGGGAGATGCTCCAATCCTTCCATCATCTCTGTTGCCCTACGCTGGACTCTCTCCAGCAGTTGCCTGTCTCTCTTGAACTGGGGAGCCCAGCACTGGAGGCAGGATTCCAGTTGTGGCCTCCCCAGTGCAGAGCAGAGGGGGAGAAGGACCTCCCTGATTTCAGCAGCACATTGTGAGCGGTTCACCATAAATAAGCCAAACTCTCCTCCAAATTCTGCTCACAGTGTTGTTACTCACAGTACCCTGGGTGCTCTGCAGAGCAGCTTTTCAAGGATGGACAGTTTCTACTCGGATATTTTTCGTTTTAGTTGCTGTAGCAGAGAAGGGAGGGGGAAAAAAACCCTGTAACTGGTGGGTCTGTAAGTGAAGAGTTTGTGGTCCCACTGGGAGGACACAGGTTTATGGGAAGGCTTTGGATGCCTTTACAGAGCAGATGATGAGCAGAGACAAGGGACAATAGAAATAAGGAGGGGGGAGGGGATATGAAGACAAAGGTAGAGGGCAGGTGAAGTTAGGGAGAAAACCATTAGAGGTGATGGGCAGCCAAGGGAGAAGTAGCAATGGGTCTGCTGAGGGAAGAGACCAGTCAACAGTCAACAGAAGTATTATATCAGTGCTGCCTTAATGTTGCTACGTCAGCCCCATCCAGGATATAAGCAAAAGGGGGGCAGTGGTAAGTGCTGTGCATGTTAAAGGGTATAGCAGTGTTTATTTGCTGAAGGCAGATGAGTATGGGGGTCAAATCCCCTGTTTCAGGCATGCTTTCGTACACGCAGAGTATTTATTTTTTTTTCTCTGTTGGGCTTGCTACCCAAAGATAGACTCTGCCCTGCCCTGGTTTGGTTTGTGTATAAACCTTGGTTTCCTGGTGTCCCTAGGGGTAACAGGGACAGCACGGGGAAGGCGTCTGGCAGTCGACAGAGCAGTACGGAGAACGAGTTGAAGTGGACAGACCACCAGAGGCCATGGAGCAGCACAGACTCGGACAGCTCGAATCGCAATTTGAAGCCAGCCATCACCAAGACAGCCAGTTTTGGTGGGATAACCGTCCTGACGAGAGGAGATAGCTCATCAAGTAACAGGAGTACCGGGAAACTGTCTAAAACAGGTAGCTAGTACTGTATTGGGTTCACAGCGCTTCTTCTCGTGAGGTGGTAAATAGCTATACTGGTACTTGCTTTGAGTGTGATGCATCACAGAATGGTTTGGGTTGGAAGGAACCTTCAGAGATCATCTAGTCCAACCCCCATGGTTGGCCAAGATGGTGAGTTACGGTTGTATTTCCCGTGCATGGCAGATGTGTGTGTCCATTTATGTGTACTAGTGTCTGGCTACGTGGTATTGAGTTTTTAGGAATCAAGAAGAAAACCTGGTGCCTGAGGCTTGAAATCACAGGTAGGTTTTTCCTGGACTAGAGTGTGTGCACACCCTGTTTGAGTGTCTGCATTCGTAGCCTGAAAAAGGTAGTGCTCCTTTCAGACAGAGCACAGATTTTACCCTTCATTAATCTTAATCTTTTCGAATCATGAAGATTTAAATGCCATATATCCGCTGAGAAGTCCAAGAACATTTTGTAGCTGTTGTTGCTAAAATGCAGACCGTCTGTGTCTTGGAGTACAGCCTCTCCTGTGCTGCTGGCAGACCAGGCAGTGTGCTTGGTGGAAGCAGGCAGAAGCTCTGGATTCACAGAGGTCTCAAAATCTCTCCGTTTTCTTGTTTAGTTCCCATTAAACGAAAGCACCATTTAAGGAGACCACGAGCCTGGTGGGAATTCTGCATTTATTTGCATTAACTTCCCAGGTACATTAACATGTGAGTGAGTCACAGGGTCTGGATCTAAGTCATTTCAAGCCGTGCCATTAAGCTACTCTATTATATTTTTGTGTAAAAGTGCGTAATAAATAATGAGCTCATCAGATGATTCCATCAGTTTGGTTCATTTGATAAATATAGTACAGGACAAGTGGTAATCAATACTTAGCACTTAGTGCTCTTTCAGCTTGAGAGCATTTTATGGACAATACTTAATTTAAACCCAGTTTATCAAACCTGGGTTGGTCAGATTTCACTCCTATTCCCAAAATAGTATGGTAGCCTTTACTGTCACTCAGGATACTGGGGAATGGTGTTTTCAGAATAAATTGAGAAAACCTTTGAGTGGGTAGCTACGTTCTGGACCTCCAGATCTTGAACGTAGTTTAAAATTTTGTTATATTTCACAACTGTAAAGGAACCCAGCTGGTTAGAAAGCCCCTCTTTCAAACCCTGCTGGTCATAAAGCTGCTGCAAGCTTTTGGAATATCCAAAACATTGGACATATATTGGAATATGACAAATATTTGGTTTATTATGGTAAAATTCATAGATTTATAGAATATCTCAAGATGGAAGGGACCCACAAGGATCCTTTCTTAAGATTCTCCTTCAGTTTCACTTTGTCCTTATCTATGTGAAATCCTATGGAATTAAGAGAAGAATTTGACTTCAAAAATTAGTACTGTATAGTTGCTTACCTCAGGCTTGTTCCTGAGCATGAGCATATGCAACATAGCAAAACCAGTGTGTTTATAGTTTTGAAGCTACTCTCTCCTGTATTTTTTATTTGTATAAAGGCTGAATAGACTATACAGTGGGGCCTGAAATATGCAATAAACCATATTTTTACCTCCAGATTTCTTTGCCTCCCACAAACCTTTCCATGGCATCAGAATTCAATTTGATATCCATGAATTAGGGAGGAGGCACGGGTTCCTGGTGTACTTTTTCATATCATTCACCTTCAATAGAGCACAGTTAAATGTGTTTCTCTGCAGCATTGTATTGCAGAGGTACAGAACATTTAGAATGGTGACAGGGAAATCCAGTTTGGAGGGTTGAGACATCATCTAATTCCAAGAGAATAATACTTTTAAGTAACGTTTTAGATTCAAGCATATTAGAGGGTGCAGTTAGAGAATGTATTAAAGGAGAGATCTGTGAAGCATGCCAATACTTGTAAATGCATCTGCACTCTGTATGCATCAAACGCAAAATTGCTTTCAAATAAAAGCTCTTATGATACATTTTTAAAACATCACCGATATTAAAATTCCATGTCCTTTGCAAAGCAGTTGCATATTGTAAGTGCTTTGATTTTTTTTAAGCAAAGATCATAAATTGGAAAGCTAGTGGAGGCACAGAAAGAGTGGGGGGAAAAAAAAAAAGAAACAAAATAAAAGGAAGAGGTGGGGAAAAAAGAGCAAGGCTGGATGTCAAAATAAACTTACGCCTTCAAAGCCAAGACACAAAGTCAAACTGTCAGTCAGCCCAAGGAAAGTCACAGGAAATAATATCTGAATTGCTATTTCTATCCTTCTCTCTAAGATATTATTGAATGGCATTAAAGCAGAAAGGGACGACTGTTCAAAAAATCATGGGAGATGTCCCCTGATAAAGTATTCTTCCTTCACCAAAAAAATGCTGAGAGCATTCATACAGCTGTCAGAGCCCTCACGTGCTGTTTGCAAATGTTTTCTAAGGTATATTAAGTACCAAGTGACTCTTCATTGGGCATGCTTTGCATTAGATCTTCATTACTCTGTATTCTAGTCATAGGCTGTGCTGGCTGTCCCGTAGCTCAGTACACATTTAAAGCTTGATCATGTTTTTCTTTTGGGGGATTTTGTTTATTTTCTGTTGTCTTTACATCTCCATAATCCTATTTCAATAGGATTCAGGTAGTAGGTACAGACATTAGGCACATTGCCCTGGTAGTGTGGCAGAGCCTGGTAGGCACCAATTCTGTCCCAGTTCTGCTCTGCAGAAAGAACTAGTCTGTTCTTTGAAATGTCTTATGATTCACAGTAATAGATTTAAAACATTTTTTTTGTCTTGCATACAGTATGTATAAAATCAGTCTAAAGTTGGTCAAAATGTTCTTCATTGGCTAAATCATGAAAAATGTTTGTGATGATTTTAAATGTGAAAATTATTCTACATATAGGATGGTCATCCAGAAGCGTGGTCAACACTCTTCTTGGAATATTAATAATTCCAATATTAATATTACAGGAATATTATTCCCATATTCATGGAAGTATTAAAACTTTCTGGATTTTAACAGGTGGCTCACAGCTGCCTTTGAGAATACATACAGTGATGCAATATTAGCATTATAGCCTTTCTGGATTATTTTTAGTGTTGTCACCAAAATTAAATGTTCTGCCCATAACCTTAACTTCTGATAAATCAGTAATTAATGGTACGTAGCAGAGAAACAGAAACTGAAGCACAGAAATGAGTTAGCCTCCTCTTAGGGAGAGATCAAAGAATGTGCTGGTTTCTGTGGTGGAGTCCAGTTGTGTCAATTAGTCTTAGACTTAAATTGCATTCAGCTGCATGGGAACTGGAGCTTTGCAAAGGATTTCTGTTACTTCATTCTGGCAAACTTCACAAAAGGGGCTGTTTGAAACCCATTACATGGTTATCTTACTGGTTTTGATGGTTATTTTCATGCACCTGTTGAGTGTTTAGAAAGCCACTGGAAAGCACAGATTGTATATTGCAAATAAAATTTTCTTCTCTGCTATTCTGAAGCCTCGTAGATATAGAGAGAGGTGTTAAGCTGTAATTCAGCATTGAGTGGGGAGTTGATAATTTAACAAATTGCAATCGGATAGCGTTCATACAACTAAGGAGATCATACAAAATGTAGGTTGGTTTAGATTTCCAGTAATATAGTGGACTTTCCAGGGTTGTAGAGTGGTAAGTGAAATAGATGTCCCTGTAGGCATCAAAGATCTACCTGTTCGGTCTTTAACACACCCACGAAGAGAACACCTAGTTCATTGACTACCATGCTATTTTCACTGACACGTTATAGCAGGTTTTTATATACATTATTAGGAGGGAAGACAAGGTGTGTTTCAAAGAAATGTCCTTTGTGTATCTACATAACTATTTAAGTAATTGTTGGGAGACTTCAAAGATGTAACTGTTGCATCTTTAGCTTCTCTTAATGCATTTTCCATTCCAGAAAGAAACACACTCCATCTATTGGAGTGTGTTTCTTTCTCCCCCCTATTTACAAAATACTGGCTGCACTGGGGTATCAGCTGTGTTGATACACATCTGTAGGGATTATTATCTTCCTTGACAGGGCTCCACATAGTTGGAGCCACAGTCTAATCTCTCCTGTTAGGTGTTCATTGCTGCTCCTGTTGGGGAAAGACAATTATACTTGCAGGCATTTCAATACATTAACCTTTTATTAATTATTTTTTCTTTTAAATAAAATGTCCTGAAAATTATAATTTTTGTCTCTTGAGTTTTGGAACTGGGTTTCTGCTTCTTTACAATTTCCTTTAGTCTGGCATCAGCCTGATGGTTCTCATGAGTCCAAGACAAACTGCAGAAATGTTGATACATGGGTAATAAATCACGAGCCAACTGCTTCCAGTCATTCTCTTCCCACCAACCAACTGTGCTGAAACATCAATCATATTTTTAGAGGTGCATCTTGCAGAGAAATAATTGTGTTGAAATGAGCACATACCATTATAATGAAAAAAAGCCAACCTATATATATGGTACTATACAGAAATGTAAGTGACTTACAAAAGTAGCAAATAAATATTCCTAAGGCAAGAAACTATATCCATGACAAAAATACTTCCAGAGGAGATCAGCTCTCTACTGTTCTGGAAAAGTTTACCATCTGGAGCAAGTAATGGGTAGCTCTTGAGAGTCCAGTTGTTAAGAAAGGAAAAATTGACCTCAGGCTTGGAAGGTGGGATGAATGGAGATGTTCAAAGTCATCAGATACTGAATTCTGACCCAAAATAAATAGAGCAACATATGTTGCATTGCTCAGTAATGCTCAGAATATTGGAAAATTAATGGTACCTCCATGCTCTCCCTCTGCAAACCCTCTAAGCTCTCAAGACTTTGTCTGATTTTTCTATCTCTTTCTTTTACCACTCTTTGAACTGCTGTATCTCTCAGAATACTTTAAAAATGTATTAATGGAAAGTCATGAGAATAGGAAGGTTATTATTATGTCAACTGTGAAGCAGCAAGAAAATTATAGAAGAATCGAGAAGAAGTAGCCATCATTACATACTGAAAAAAAAGAGGTTGTATTGTGTAATGGGGGCAAAAATCTCATTTAGTCAAAGTTCCTTTCAGAAGTCTTTAGCAAGACATGTCTTAATGTGAATCTGAATTAAGTCAGATAGTCCTTTTCTGTTTTGTTTTTTTTTTCATTTGCTAGAGTACTGAATTCATTATGTGGTGATTTCTTATTCCAAATTTAGACACCGTGAAAACAGCTAATCAGAGCTACAAAGACAAGATTAATTGGTGTTAATTTCCAAACATTAGTGTTAGAATTTTCTTGGCTTAATACGTCTAGACTTAAAATGATAGGAAATAAGTCGTAGTGATGGAAAAAAAATTTAAAAATCATTCTTATACAGGATAATGGGGGCAAAATTGGTTAAGTAGTAATTTCTAGGATTTTTTTGTTTTAATATTCAGAAAATTGCTAGAATGGTTTGGTGTCTTATTTGTGTTCTTTCAAAATCACTGCTTTGTCCTACTGCCATAGGAGAGCAGATCTCTCATCTTTTAAAGCAGCCATTTCAAAGCCATCATCTTGGCCAACGTAGGGTGACAGCTCCAGTGTTTTTTCTCACTGCTTCTACCTACCATTTGACCGAGTCCCTCTGAATTCATCGCAGTCCTTTGGTTTTTAACATTGAGGAGCTGGTAAAGATCAATCTGTGATTCTGCCATAAAAACAACCGAAAGGGGGAAAAGGTAAAAACGATTGAATGTCATAGCTGCAATCTTCTTTTAGGCGAACGACTTTTCTTCAGAATGGCACGAAATGGGGAGAGAGAAGTCTGAACTCAGGCTTGATGCTATTTAGAAATAATGGGAGGTTTATAAAATCACATCACCACTCCAGCATCTCCAGATGGCTTTCTAACCCATTGAATTCAATAGGTGATGGAGAAGAAAAGAAAGTAAAGCAAGAACTCAAAGAAGCAACATGAAGCGCATGTCGAAGAGCCAGGGAAATGCGGGATAGGACCTGGTGACTACTGTAAAAGGAAGATTAAACTCCAGCAGTTGCATTTACATTTGCAAGGAAGATGACAAACACCGTTTGCAGCTTGATGAGGACCTCCAGGAATACCTGTGCAATTTGTAGAACCGCTGAAATGATCCAATAAATAAAACTATCCCTGCAGGAATAATCTTTCTAGATTTCCAGCCTCAGGCTACAAGGAGGGGAAAAAATACAGCAGCTAATACAACTTCGAGGTGGATTTATAGAAATCAGAAATTTCTTTTGAAATCTCTGCTTTCTTGATTAGATCCTGGAGAAGGAGATTTAGGGTCCTGCTTATGGCAAATAGTGCAGAGCTTGTAAAGAGGACTGTCTCTAGCAGCTGCCCTATGAATAAGAGATTTGAAGAAGATGGATGAAGATGTGTTTTACACAGCAAGCTGGGGAAAGACCCTCAGTTTAGTAACAAGATGCTGGTGTGATTTCTTCAGAGGAAAACTGTTTTGCTCTAATTATGAGGAAATAAACGAATTCTGATATGGATTTGACTGAAAACAAATCAAGGCTCTAAGCATTCTACTGCAGGGTCTTCCTGCAGTGTCCCAAATAGGAAGGGATGTAATTTGCCCTCTAAGAAAGAAGTTTGCTAAAACTGACATCTGAGTTATTTTCTTTTAGTGTGTACCTGCAGGAAGGCACTAAGGAGGTTAGTAATTAATGTAAGATGCGTAGACAGTGCAGAGAGGGGAAATAAAAGAAGTTGCAAATCCAATATACTTTTGGGAGGAAGCATTCACACAGAGATTTGCTTTTGCATCTCCCTTGTATTTGCCTTCACATCCCGCTTTAAGGAAGGAATCATCTGAGCCTTACACACTCCGAGATTCTTGTCCTTTTTATGTGAAGCAACTTGAAATCTAATTAAGTGAAATGGCTGAAGTTTGGAAGTGATATTTGGGTTTTAAAATAGCATGTCTCCCCATCTTTCCGGGCGCAAATGTGTTTTAGCACATTTGATTTATTTCGGTTGATCAATTTTAATAGGCTGGGTGCTGACAAACCGAAGTGGCAAAGGTCTTAGGCAGCTGTAAGTTAATACATGTGTGAGACACAGCTACTTTGATACTTGACTGACAACTCCGTTGCTAGGTGGTTTTTCTTTTAACTTACAGAAAGTGTTTGGTAGTTTTTTAGTGTTGTGTGTGGGTTTTGTTTCTTTTTCATTTAAAAACCCCGCGTTTAGTTTTGGTACCTTCTAAATCAGGGCTTTGGCGTGATAAATACGTGCTGAGCCTTCTGTGGTCTGTTTGATAAAGTTCTTTACTGGCTGGGGGAAGCTGATGTTGTGGGAGTGTGTGAAGGCTGTCTTCGTGTCCGCGCCGTGTCTGGGGGGGACCGGGGTCCCTTGTAATCCCCTGCTGCCCTTGTGTCTCTCTGTTAGGCTCAGAGTCTTCCAGCAGCGCTGGCTCCTCAGGATCACTGTCACGAATACATCAGCCTCTCCAAAGTGCATCTCTCGTCCCTGGGGTGACGGCCAGCTCTTCAGGCAGCATGTCCTACCCTGAGAATGGGATGAGCGGCCAGGTGGCCCCCAGCAACACCAGCTATATCATTCTTCCACTTGAAGCTGCAGGGATACCGCCTGGCAGCATCCTTCTCAACCCACACACAGGTCAGTATGATGCTCTCCTGCCTGGTGCTGCCCGTCAGGGTTCAGTGTTCCCAGTGTCATCTGAGGAACTGGCAAATTTCGTGTTTCTTGAGATACTATCCTTGAGGCACTTGACGAGGAAGCAGGCAGCAAACACATGGAGAAATGACTTTTGGCAGGTTGGTTGTTCCAATCTGCGGGCAAAGCTGGAGTGGCTTTCTGAGGCTGTTGTGGCATGGCCGGTGGGAAGTGATGCAAAACACACTCCTGCGGTCCCAGACAGGATACTCATCTCCTAAAATCCTGGCTGCAAAGCCTTTCAGATCCCATTAGCTTCGCTAAGGACAGAGGCTCTTCCATATCCGGCTGAGATACGGCGCAGCTGAAACATGCTGCTCAAGGTTTTAAAGGTTTGTGCTTAACAGCAGAACTTCCTACAGCTCAGAGGCTGCGTTTGAATTAGCACTTCAGAGTTAATTTCCTGATGTGATTAGCAACCGTAGTTAAATGGGAAGTTTTGAGATAAGAGAAGGTTGCGGTCTCTCCAGTTCTGCACCCTGGCCCTGGTAGGTAGCAGCACTTTGGGGCTTGAACGAGGCATTTGCAGTCACCCAAGCAACGTGGACACTTCAGAAACCACTCGGCTTGAACTCGAGTGCTCGTTGAGAGCTTGAGGCAATTTGTTACCTCCGTGGTCCAGATGAAGTCCAGATAATGTTGCACTATTACTCCCCACGGTATTGTACTGAAAGCATTGCAGAGGTTCAGGGAGGTTGAGACTGGGATGCTTCTTCAGTGGTTGGGACTATTTCAGTGACCATGACTAGCTGTGCTGTCAACCTCAGCTGAGTAATGCTGGGTTTAAAATAACAAAGCCTACAGGGCAGTGTGTTTTCCATTATTCTAGGAGCTGAGAGTTGAACTCCGAAATATTATTTCCAAGTCCTTAATAGAGCATTAAGGTGCTTTTTATTTAGGGATTTTTCCTTATAACCAGTATTTTCTGTATATTATACCCCTGCGTTCCAGTATGTTGGTGCAAATGCGTAAAGCTTGTTTGTGAGTCCAGTGCTAAAAATACTTTTTTTAGTTAGAATGCTGTCAAGAAAAACAGAAAGCTGCAGCATTTGAGAAAAACACAGCCTTGACAAAACTATTAAACCAAACTTTCCACAGATGTTTAGAGATCGTAGATCTGGGGCTGAATCAATATATATTAGACTATCTAAAATCAGGGAGTTCTTGTTTGTTTAGATTCAAACAGGGTAAGTTCTTTGTAGAGAGATGATTTAGAAAAGTACACGCTTGTGCAATTTACTGAAGGCTTCACTATTTATGTGTTTATCTTTTTTAAAAGATACCACATTATTGACATGAGTGCCTAATACTGCCAGCATGAGTGGAAGTTTTCTTCATTTCTAAAAATGACTCAGGGGAGAGGAGGTGGGGATTAGGCAAACCCCATCATTATTAATTTACTTATATCTGTTGTTCTGGTGGTTGACAGTCCAGTCTGTAACGCTGGAATTTGGTGGTCAATACAGAAAGAAGGTGTTTTGTGTGCTATGGTGTCCACTCCCATACAAAACTCAGCAGGCCCAGGCAGAAGTCCCTCCGAAATTCAGGTAAAGGACTGAGAGAAAGGGATGAAAGGAATCACTGCTGCTTCCAGCCCACCAACAGCTGAGAGGTTGTGCTTCTTCCTGGCTGTGGCAAAGCCAGACGCTGCAGCTCATCACATTGCCAAGCCAGAAGAGCTGTTTAAGAGGAACATCTCCTGCATCTGTTTTGTCAACTTAGCAATTTGCAGCAGGTAGCTCATATTTTTCCCTGATACCCAGGGAGTCTTTGTCTGCCATAGGTACAATGCCTTTCAATATTGCCACTAGACCAGAGGACCTGGTTTTCCTTCCCTCATTGTCTGCAGAGGCATAATCAAGCATTCCATGTGTGTTAGTATGTTTAATATTCAGGGAGCAAGTGTTTTTGTGTACATAAAATGTTGCGTTTCTTTCAAACTTCCATGTTTTATTTCTGTAGCTCCATTGTAAATCCATACCTAATAAAGAAAATGGAGGGAATAGATTCTTCTTAAGACTGGAACTCTTGTCTCAGGCATACAGCTTTGTGCTGCTACTTGTGCTGAAAATCAGGCTATACTGTAGCATCTGCTGTGTTTTTAACATGCAGCAAAATACAGCGCTGCGAATTTGCCACTCTTCAGGCTCAGAATCTTTGCATCTTATTAGGGTAATGTTACAAAAGAAGCTCTGCAGGGAGGAGACTTAGATTGCTGGATGCTGTGATCAGCTATCAAAGTGATGGATGCTGTCAGAAACGTAGATGAAGAGAAGACAGTTTAAAGAAAAGGAAAAAGGAGCTTTGTTTCCTGTAATGAATAGATTTTCTTTCCCCACGTAACACCATTCTTTGGCTGTTTCTTCTCCTCTTGCAGAGTGGCTACTTCCACTCTTTGTTTGCTCTTTTGATCATAACACCATGTCCTTAAAGATCTTTGCTTCCTTTCACACGGCATAGTCACTGACTGTGCAAGCCTCTAATGGCATCCCCAGATGCTGTCAGTATCTCCCTGCTCTGATTGTGCCTCTCCACTCTTCCTCCACTATTGGCAATCCACACTTTCTTTTCCATAGCTGCAGTTCCCTTTGTTTCCTCTCCTCTGCTTTACCCTTCTCCTACCCCGGAGAGAGAAGCTTCCTGCTTGCTTTGGGAAAGGACCATTTATCTGGCTACGCTGTTTTACTCTCTGTTTCACCCACTTCACCAATCTGTTTTACCCTTTAAAGCTTTCCTCTTGACGTGTTCTCTGACTTAACCCCTCTGACAATTTAAGAGCATTTACGTTTCATTCTTACTCCTTGAAACGACACAGCAATCTTTGCCTTTCTATCAGGGCCACAGTTCATAACTTACAAATGTCTTCCCTGTTACCATCTGATCTCTCCTTTTCATTTCTTGCTTCAAGATTTCTTCATGAAAGGTCTGTTTTTTCATCTTTAAAAGCATTGCTGGACCTCTTCTCTTTCAGCTCTGTCATGCTTCACTGAGACATGGGAAATGCTCTTTACGGCTGCCCTTGAGTGTCTGGCACCGGCTTCAGGAGCCTGTTATCCCCCTCACTTACCCAGTCTCCTAAATTACTTCTGGAGCCTGAGACTCCCAAATCTGGGGAGTCCATGCCAGTGTCATCCAGTGTGTTCCCAGTAAGAAGCAGGAAATCAGCCCGTGGCCAGAACTGCCCCGTGCTTCTCTTCTACTCACTGGAATCACGACCTTTCTCACTGTGAGTGTGAGACATGCCCGGTATAACATGGCAGTTTCATCCAGAAAGTCTTCATGCTGTGGAGAATTAAGGCCAGGTTTCTTTATCTGGTGCTCCTCATATGTTTCTGACCATGATCAATAAGAGGGGGGAACGGAAAGGCTGAGGAGTGGATAGAACAGGTAGAGATGCCTGTGGTATACAAATCAGAAGTTCATTATTTCACTTTTGCTCTCAGTCACCAAGTTCCCCCAGAGCTCCCTTTTTATTTCAGATATTCATACTTTGGTTACCTACTTTAAATGTTATCACTTCATTGCTAAAAATCCCTTTTTCTTTTTTCTCGTGGAAACATCTGTACTTCCTTTGATATATGAATTTATGATGGAACTGAAACGAGAACCGAGGTCATGGAAGACGTTTTCCCTACAGAGAAATACCATTTCTTTTTTGTTTGTAAGGCAATTACTTGGGTAAACATTTTTCTTTTTTAAATAAACATTGCTTTTGCAAGGTTACTTCCCCCAGCTAGAATATCTGAAGCAAAAAGAGTTCAGCATCTTAGAAGAACTTTGGACTTAATTTGTCCTATATATAAGAGATTTTCAAAGATGTCTTCCGTGTTTCTTCCTTGATAACTTCCAGTGCTGCCTCCTCTAATTACATAGGACACAGGTTTCAAAAGTACAGCACTATGTTATTAGAGTGTAAATAAATTAGTAACAGGAGTGGGTTTGGTTTTTTTCCTTTCCATGCAAACCACAGTGTGTCAGGAGTTGCTGTGTACAACTGACTGCTGTTGCATGGCATTAAAACATACATGAATATCCTCTACCTCCAGAGCTCACTTTTAGTACTAATTGATTCATCATTGAATGACTTCAAGTCACCATAGCATCTGAATCATCTTATAGCCATGGTAACCTTCCACCCATTCCTTGGAAAGCCATATTGCCAAAAAAAAAATCTGCTGTCTGCCTTGCCTGCAAAAAAACCCTAACCCAGATGGCTGATGCTGTAATGAGGCACCGAGAGTGATGAGCACTTTGCTGTTGTAGCAGGTCAGCTACAGAGCAACCAGTTAAAGCAAGGTTTTATGATTTCATACGGGAAGCAGCACATTCTTTAAAAGTGCTCAGCAAAGGCAGGCTGTTTTGTTTCAGGTCAACCGTTTGTAAATCCGGATGGGACACCGGCAATATACAACCCTCCCAGCGGCCAGCAGACCATGAGGAGCCAGATGGTGGGACAGTCTCAGCAGCAGCCTTCATCCCAGCAGCCTCAACAGGTTCAGCAGCCACAGCAGCAAATGGCGAGTCACCTTGTCACACAGGTAGGTGTGGTGGCAGCTTAAGAAAAGAGAAGCAGCTCTCAGGGATGTGAAGGATGATGTAAAAGGTGGGAGGGAAGGATGCAGCTAGACAAAAATACCAGGATGTTCTTTTCTTTCGAAACAAATGGGGTCCCATGAAATCCCCATTTTCCATGTGGCTGAAACTGATGGAGAGGGAAGATTCCTGAAGGATGGTTTCATTTTGAAAAGGACTGTTCAACAGTCGGTGTAAACTTGTTAAAAAGTTGGTGGATGTCTACATAATTTCATTTCACAAAAAAGGCCCTTCAGTGAAAACTAAAGCATTCATTCTCAAACTAGTAGAGCCTGTACTTCTCTCCAAAGAGCCAAGGACCTTTCCCCGTCCCTTTTGACAGCAGTGAGGCTGAGTGAAAGAATCAAGTACAACACAGGGCTCTACAACCTCTTCCATGTCTAGTGATAACAGGTCTGAGCTGTGGGTAGCTCTGAGCACCCCAGACCGTGGGTCTTCTCCCTGCACCCCATGTTCTTGCCATGACCTTGCTCTGAGCTAGAAGCTGTGGAGTTAGAGGAGTAGAGGGGAAGAGCAGCGTGGTTTGGGCAGGGTGCCACGGCGTGTTGGCTCTCTGGCCCCATGGTGTGCGGCCAGACGTGGCTGAGCACGGGCAGCAGGGTTTGGGTCTGGTTCAAACTTAATTTTGTGGATTGTGTGCCTGCTCTCCCCGAGCAGAGCAGCCGGAGGAAACTACTCGAGCAAGAACGCTACATCCTGCTCACTCCCAGAGCAGCCAAGATCTACTGTGGTTCTAGTGGGGCTTTATAATTTGGCATAGTTTTATCCCCCAGAAATACAATGTTGAGATTCAGTGAAGTTGCTTTGATTTTACTTGGATTTATGTGGTTGTGGCTCTTATTTCTTGGTTTAGTCTTAGAAGATGGAGGTAACACCAAGCCCGTGTAAGACTCAAGTTAAATGAGAGATTAAAACCAAAGGAGTAGTAAAGCTATTCAAAGGTAACAGTGCTGTAGAAAATTGTTCTTTCACTTAGATAAACATCTGCTCCAAGCTGACAGGCCTGTCTCTGTTGTTAATTTGCAGACTGTTCTTTGTCAAATTTTTTTTTTTTTAAGCTATTGTGTTCTGCCAAAAGAGCTTTAAAATCATTATTCCTTTGCCTGTGACACACTCGGAGTTGAATCAGTCATTATCAGCAAAATTCAAATATACACAGCTTACACCGTGCTGCTCTTCCATTTTATCTCTGTAAATTAAATGTAGAATCATAATTTGGCTTTGCCTCACATCAGGGACAAGAAGGTGTAGCTGTGACTTTATTTAATCTTACAGCCACCAAATATCTGAAAATAGGCTGAAAAATCTGTAAGAAAGAATTGTTTGGTATAATGCCAAGGCAAAGATTAAAATTGCAGTACCTGACCTCTTGCATTTGGGCTGGCAAGGAGTCACCTGCATTTTCAGAGAGGTGTTTGTGATCTTTGTTCTCAGGAAGAGAGTTTGTTGTTGTTACTATCTAAGTAGGTTGTATTTATTGTCTTTAATTGTGTTTATTTTGCAGCCTGTTCAGGCAATGCAGCCATCTTCTCAGTCAGTCCAATATCCAGCAGTTTCTTATCCTCCCCAGCATCTCCTGCCAGTCTCTCCAACGCAGCAGTTTTCTGTGGTACTGAAGATTTATTTTTTTCTTTTTATGTTTTGTCTTTCCTTGAAGTTGGGTGTGTGAGCATGAGTATGGCCTGGAGCCTGCGGGGAGGGAGCACTGAGCCCCATCTAAATCCCCCTTTGCCTTAAGGCTTTTGGTACTGACAAGCATTTTGTAGGAGTGTTCCCACTGATTCCAGTTACCTGACCTGGAGGATGGTATTGGGAGCAGGGCTCTGCATCGTTAGCACAGAGCCTCCAGAAAAATATTTTATTATGCCTGTTGATGAGAGCTATTGTCTCCCCACTTTATGTCGAGGGAGCTCAAATTGCTAACTTGGGCATTTCAGATTTGCATTATTCCCCTTTTGTGTCCACGAAGACTATGAGACTTCGAGATACCATTGGGTTTTATTTGATATTATTTTATCAGTATACCAAGTCCACTGCCTGGATTTATTCCCCAGTGATACCAGAGCACTTGAAAAACAGCAAACCAGCCGCGGAAGGTGTGGTACACTGTGCATCATGACAAAGCACCAATGGACATGTGTAATAAAAATAAATAGAGTGCTCTTCTGGAGTCCAAATCTGGCTTGGTGCTTACAGGGCTAAGATTATACTGTTGTAAAATGAAGCTGACATTTTAAGAGGCACTACAAGATTTTTATTTTTTTTTTCTGTTATTTTTCTCTCTTGCTCTGGTAATTTTGTTTATGACTGATTTTTTTTCCCAAGGTAGAGATGTCACATAGTTACAGTAGGAGATGGAAGCAAAGCTGAATGGATCCTTGACGCTATTAATGCCGGGTAGATGAGCAGTACTATTTAAAGGACAATAAAAAATATTCCCTGCTTAACAGAAGTTGCATATCTCAGTGCTAATTCTCTTGAAAAGTGTCTCGCAGCCATCTCAGCTTGCTCTAGTGATAGTCAGAGTAAGGCTGATATTTTTAGTGGCTAATTTAATAGTTAAACTTCACCTGAATCACTGTCTTCAGTGTAGATTACAGTATACACATAAAGTATAAACTACAGGGTTTTGAAGCTCTTGGTCTCTATTGTGCAAATGTGGAGACATTCCAGGCTCAGTGAAGTTTCTGGTAGGATATGTGTGCAGTCAGTCACCATTCAGGTGATGAATACCCTGGCTTTTTAAAGAAACGACTTCTAACAGACAACTTAATGTCCCTGATGGTTCTGTTAATAGCATTATTTTCTTACACCGCCTGAAGATGTGCCAAGAGCATTTAAAATGTTGGCCCATGGTATCTGCTCTCGGAGTGGGAGGGTGAGCCTCTCTGCAGTCTCTGGCAGGGCTTTCCACAAACAAACATTTTTATTTTTTTTTTTAATTCTGTTTTGAAGTTCCTGCCAATAAATACATCGTGCAGGGTGGTTTTGGAGAGTGAACACCGCAGGGATGCAAACAAAATTGAAGAGGCTTCTTCTAAAAAAGACCATAGATGTTTTAAGTGAAAAGCATTTTGATAGTGCTTATTCCCTGTCCGTGAGGGGGTATGAAGAAAGGACCATAATCTGCATATTGGCACATGATGGAGTTTTATGCTGGATTTATTGCCGCATAGAGTATGTTTTAATGCTGATTATTTAAAAGTCTTATGATACGGACACAAATGAAAATACATAGAACCATGTTTCTAAATTTTCAAACTTCACAGTATAAATATGAGAGCATTGATCAGTATGGATCTTTTTGCAAGACTGAAAAGATACTGTTTAGAATGCTTGTGTCAATACCAATATGTAATCAAACTTAGGTCCATTGGCTTTATTTGGTACGTTCATCCTACCATAGATTTATTTTTTCCCCACTCCAGTCAAATGAAGTACCTGTTTCTTTCCAACACTGGAGAAAAAGCTTTGAAATAGCAACTGAAAGTGTAGCCTTTTTTACCTTCTTTGTGTTTACAACCCTGGATTTTCAAAACAATCCAAAAAGGAAAAAAGTCTGCACCTGAATCCTACTGAATTCCTCTGGGGAACATTTTGAAAAACAGGTGAAATTACCAGCGTGTGTTTGGCTGAGGAATTCTGTGTTTGGGGGAAGAGGTATTCATAGGATTATTTTCATGCCCTTTTTATTTAAAATGTCTTCTTTTGAACACTGTAACGTTCAGTAGTCATTTTGGAATAAAAGGGCGGGGGGGGGAAAAGCCAAAATAATTGGCTTTGACACCAAGCGATGCCATTGACCTCGCAGTCTGGGAGTCTTTCATCAGAGGTTTTAGAGGTTTTTTATATTATATATTATATTATATA